CGACGTGGACTTGGATGCAGCGCTGGAGGCCCACCTCGACTACGAGGACGAGCTCGACCGCCAGCGGGCGCAAGAGGCCTACGCGCAGGCGACGGAGGGAGGCATTACGAAATGAAGCGCTGGGCCCGCGGGGTGACGAGTTGAGTTGTTGGGTGAGCGGTGAGCTTGGGCCGCCGGGGCGGCGGCCGCCGAGCCTCTGATGGGCCCCCAGCGCGCTTCGCGGGCTCCCATATGAGTATGAGCGTCATGATGATTGCACCCTGAGTTGTTATTCTGACCGACTGCGATGACTCAAGAGCCGTCCTCGCCGTCGGCGTCGTCGTCGTCGTCCCCCCCCCCCCCCCGCTCGCCCCAAGCTCGCCTTGTCCTCCCTGCCCCGTTTCGACAGTTCGATTGGCGCCGCAGCGTTCGGCTCGCAGGTAGATCGGGACCTCCGTTGGCCTCTCGGCGCCCCTCCGCATCCCAAGGCATGGAGCGATACGCAGACGCGGCGGCCTATCTGGGTGCGCTGAAGGACCTGGGCGTGACGAACAGGGACTCTTTCCAGTACGCCGTCTCGCACGCGGAAATCCTGGATCCTGGGAGCTACTTGGAGGACGAGGCGGCTCGCGCATACTTGTTCTGCCAGCACCTCGGCATGGTTGGCAAGACGCACTTCTGCACGGACTGCAGCGACGAGTACACGCTGAACGTGAAGCATCGCCGCGGCGATGCCGTGCGCTTTAACTGACGCGGGCCTCGCTACGACTGCGGATGCGACACTTGCAACGGCGACGAGGCGTCGGCGGTGAAGGGCACCATTTTGGCGGGCACGCCCACGAGCCTATGGATGAACAAGCTCGACGCCTTCGTGATGCGGTGCTTCGACTACAGCCTTGGCGCGCTCAAGGACGAGGTCGGCGTTGACGCCCGCGCAACTGTGGAGCGCTGGATTCAGACGTTTGACGAGGGCGTCGAGGAGCACATGGCCAGGAAGATGGACTTTGGGAGCATGTTCGCAGACCTGCTCGGCGGCGGCCCGCGCAAGCGCCCCGCTGCTGCGAAAGCTGCGCCGAAGCGTCGGGCCGAGCGCTCGGCGAAGAGTCGCCCAGCCCAGGCGGGCGTCGCGAAGCGGCCTGTCATGAAGCGCCCCTCGCGGTCCAGGCCCCCTGCTGCCCGAACCAGGAAGGTCATCCTGCAGGTGGACGAGTCCTTCCTGGACAAGGGCGAGCTGTCCAAGCTGGCGAAGAACGCAAGGCCGAAGAAAGACAAGCTATGGCATTGGGGTGCCGTCGTGCAGGGTTCGCCGCACCTGTTCTTCTTCAAAGTATTGAAGTCTGTCGAGGATGCTTACGATGGCAAGCCCAGGGGCAAGCAGGAGCTGCTGGAGAACTTCAAGGAGCTGTCGCCGCCCGCTGGCGTCGTCATCGTCTCGGACAAGTGGAGGGGGGCCATCGCGGTTGCGAAGCAGTGCCGCAATGACGCTGGCCTCACCGAGCGGATGCTCCCGCACGAGGTAGTGAACCACAGCGCTGGCGAGATCACGAACGAAAGAGGGTTCACAACCAACCACGTAGAGCTCTAATGGTCATTGGTCAAGCGGTGGATCAGGAAGCGCTACGGCGGGACGTTGCCCAAGAAGGCCGACAGGAAGAAGTGGTCGAGGCTCCTTGCCGAGCACAGGTTCCGGTCCCACACCAAGGCCAGTGGGCAGGAGGTGAGTTTCGCGGCGCTGGCAGCTGCGTTCCAGGCGTGGTGATCTGTCTAGAGCGTTGCGCTTGCCATATAGTAGCGATTTATACGTTCAAAGCACTGGGTACTTTTCCAGCGGAGCTTGAGCTATGTCGGGGAAGAAGGGCCCCCCGCGCGAACGCCATGCCGCACCGCCCCGAGCCGATGCAGAAAACATATACCGCTGTCTCACTCATCGTCTTCGCTTAGCGGTTGTCGCCGGCGTTGCCGACGTTGCCGTTGACGCTGCCGCGCTCCATGCAGTTTTTCCTTTCAAAAGCGCAGGGGGGCCCAAATGAGCTTGTAACCTATATATATATATATATATATATATATCCCTGTGCACCCACCAAGAACCCCCCTTTCTCATGATTATATATGAATTTATATGATTCCTACGATTTCCGGACTCACTTTTGAGGCTCTTTTTGTTGGAAGACTTTCGGCTCCCTTCTACTCAACTCCCTCCGTCTCCAACACAACACCCATTACTCAACAGCCTCCTTCTCCAACACAACACCCGATACTCAACAGGCCCCCTCCCCAAGCTGAACTTGATGAGAACCTTCTACTCAACTCCCTCCGTCTCCAACACAACACCCAGTACTCAACAGCCTCCTTGTCCAACACAACACCCGATACTCAACAAGCTCCTTCCCCAAGCTGAACTTGAAAAGAACCTTCTACTCAACTCCCTCCGTCTCCAACACAACACCCAGTACTCAACAGCCTCCTTCTCCAACACAATACCCGATGCTCCCTCTCCAAGCTGCATCAAGAACCCCCCTTTTCTCATGATTATATATGAATTTATATATGATTACTACGATTTCCGGACTCACTGTTGAGGCTCTTTTTTTGGAAGACTTGTTGAGCTCCCTTCTACTCAACCCCCTCCGTCTCCAACGCAACACCCAGTACTCAACAGCCTCCTTCTCCAACACAACATCCGATACTCAACAGGGTCCCTCCCCAAGCTGAACTTGAAAAAGAACTTCTACTCGACTCCCTCCGTCTCCAACACAACACCCAGTACGCAACAGCCTCCTTCTCCAACACAACACCCGATACTCAACAGGCTCCCTCCCCAAGCCGAACTTGAAAATAACCTTCTACTCAACTCCCTCCGTCTCCAACACAACACCCAGTACTCAACAGCCTCCTTCTCCAACGCAACACCCGATACTCAACAGGCTCCCTCCGTCTCCAACACACACACACATGTACTCCAGATCCTACCACCACAACACGACGCGACACCCGAAACTCCAACCGCACCCGCCCCTTCTTGTGTCTTGGCATCTTCCAGGAGAAAAGGGGGGTTCATGGTGGGTGCTGCGGCTTATACATATATATAAATATACATATATATATATATATATATAATATATATTATATATATTAAAACAAAAAAACTCCGCATGCAGGAGGGCCTGCCCGACCCGACCGCACGCCCCCCCCCCCCGGGGCCTCCCGAGGTGCAGGCGCACGCGGCGCTGGCGCACGCCGTCTCGGCGCTCGCGGAGCAGCAGGCCCGCCAGGAGCGGGCGGCGCGGAGCGGGCCCCCCGAGGGGCCTCGGCCGCGGGGGGCGAGGACTCGAGGAAGCAAAGGTCGGCGGCGAGCGGCCTCCTTCTCCCCCTCCTCCTCCCCTCCTCCTCCTCCTCCTCCTCCTCCCTCCTCCTCCTCCTCCTCCTCCTCCTCCTCCTCCTCCATCCCTCCTCCTCCTCCTCCTCCTCCTCCTCCTCCTCCTCCTCCTCCTCCTCCTCCTCCTCCTCCTCCTCCTCCTCCTCCTCCTCCTCTCCCCTCCTCCTCCTCCTCCTCCTCCTCCTCCTCCTCCTCCTCCTCCTCCTCCTCCTCCTCCTCCTCCTCCTCCTCCTCTCTCCTCCTCCATCATCCCTCCTCTCCTCCTCCTCCTCCTCCTCCTCCTCCTCCTCCTCCTCCTCCTCCTCCTCCTCCTCCTCCTTCTCCTCCTCCTCCTCCTCCTCCTCCCGCTCCTCCTCCTCCTCATCCTCCTCCTCCTCCTCCTCCCGCTCCTCCTCCTCCTCATCCTCCTCCCCCTCCTGAAGGAGGGCTCGAGGAAGCTCTGGACGCCCGAAATGGGCACGGAAAGAATGGGCACGATGCCCAACGGCAGTTCTTGTTCATTCTGAACAGGACCCGCTGTCCTCGCCGCCGCGGCCTGTGTCCGTTCGAGACAGGAGGCCGCCTGCCCAACAGCGGCCGCTGTTGGTTCGGGACAACATTTGCTGTTGGGCATTGTACCCATTTTTTCGGTACCCATTTCGGGCGTCCAAAGAAGCAAAGGTCGGCGGCGAGCGAGGGGGGGAGGGGAGAAGGAGACGGCCTTCTCAGGAGGCGGCGGGACTTCGCAGAAGCCCTCGCGCCTTCTGAGGAGTTTTTTGCTTGTTGCGTCTTCGGGGGAGGCTGAGAGAACTGCTCAGAAGGCTGGGGAACTTCCGAGCCTTCTGAGAAGCCCCGCCCCTTCTCGCTTCCCCCCCTCGCTCGCCGCCAAAAAGGTCTGCATGCAAGTCGGGCGTGTTCCCCTACAGGAGGAACATTCCAAAATATTCGCAACAACAGAGGCGGGGACGATGTTTTTCGATTCTTTTTGAGCAGTTTTGAATGCGTGTTTGTCTATATTTCACTGTTCCTCGAAAATCCGCCCGTAGGAGGACACGCCCGACTTGAGGCTGCATTCGCAAGAACTGTGGGAGCTCAGCTCAGAGAAGGAAAAGGCACCCTGCCCGCGTTTTTTCTCGCTCTGGGGGGCCTCCAGGGCGGCCCTCGTCACCACCGCTGGAGTCGCCTCGCTTGGCATCGCTCGGACGTGTGCATTTTTCCTTCGGCGAGGACCATCGAGGAGCATCCTTGATGCTTTGGCGAAAATCACGCACGAAACCGAAAAAAACACAGGGAATGGACGTCCGAGCGATGGCCAGCAGGCAGGAGAGTTCCGGAGAGGCCCGGGACACTCACAAAATTTGCCACGGCGCACCAAACCCCTTCAAGCCAACCCGAAGGCCTCGATTTGCCCTCCATCTCCAGTGGGGGGGTGTCGGGGAGCATGGAAAAACAGGTATGAAGCCCCCCCGCCCCACCCGAAATTCTGGTCTTCGGGCTGTGTTGGGGCTCCGCACGGATTTCTTGGATCCGCGCTAGGCCCCCCCAGCGGCGCCCTAGTGCCGCCCCTGGCGGGATCCAGCGCCGATCCAAGAAATCCGCGCGGAGCTCTGAAACTTGTTGTTCATGCAGTTGCCAGTATACCCCTTCCTCGAAGGACGCCACCACGATGCCGCCCGAGGAGCAGAAGCTCCAGGAGTCTCAGCGGAGGAAGACGAAGGGTACCGATGCCGCTCCTCCTCCTCCTCTTCCTCCTCCTCCTCCTCCTCCTCCTCCTCCTCCTCCTCCTCCTCTGCCCCCGACTCAGTTTCGCCCTTCTGGGCCTCCCGGGGGGCCCTCGTCGCCACGGCCTGCAGTCGCCCCGAGTTCTGGCCCGAGCGCGCCCGAGGAGGGTCCCGGGGAGCGGAGGAGGAGGAGGAGGAGGAGGAGGAGGAGGAGGAGGAGGCGGAGGCGGAGGAGGAGGAGGAGGAGGAGGGCTCATGCCAAGAAACGCCCTGCTTGCCTCCAGGCCTCCCTGTGGTTCTTGGGTCTCGATGGTTTTGCCATGGGCGGCGCAACGTCCCCACGCCGAAGATCAGTGGACGTCCCGTGGTCCCAGGGTCGGGTTTCTTGTGGGAGGTTCCTTGTGGTCGAGCCCCTACTGTATCCTTTGGCTTCCTCAGGGCGTCGGAAGATGTCCACCGATCACCTCGCGGTCTTGGCCAGGCCCCAAAAACCCTGGCGCCCGTGCATCGTGGAACGCGGCGGAAGGTTTGGAGGCAATCTTCGGCCACCGGGGGCCTCTTCCCGGCTCTCAGACCGTCCAGTCACGGCTCGTGATGAGAGGTTTTGGTCCCCAAGCGAAGCGTTCCGACGTCTTGCGGATGCAACACAAGGATGCAACACAAGTCACGACGTGGGACGTCTGGGAATGTAGGCCTGGATTCTGCGCCATCCTGGCTTGGCTTCGGTCGGGCGTGTCCCTCTACAGGACGAATATTCTAGAATAGTAGAACAATAGTCCGGTGACGATTTTCCGTGGTATTTGACTGTTTGGGATTGTTGCCTAAGTTTGCACCATTTTTCTTCCAGAATCCGTTTCTAGGAGGGCATGCCCGACCTGAGGCTTGGCCAGGGGCGCACGGGCACACATCCTGGGCTCCAGGTTCGGCCTAATTTGCCGGGAGCGGTGGGGAGGTCGGTGGACGTCCCCCCCGCAGGAGGAGGAGAACTCGCAGCTCGGGAGCGGCATCAGCAGCCTCGCCACGGCGTTCTCGGACCCCAGGTCAGCATCGGCAGATTCATCCCACCCCCCCTCGGTTTACAGTCAGCCCACATAGCAAGAAGGATGGGCAACTTTCCCAAGGGTGCCCTTGCATCCTTGCCTCCTCGGCCCATCATTTGACACTTTCGTTGGCCGCGCCCCGCTCGAAAAGCTTCGACGTGGCCTTCCAAGGCCCTTGCATCCTTATCGCGCATCCTCATTTTCCGGGTTGACTGCAAACCTTCTTTTCGCTGCCTCCCCAGGGGTGGGGACAGATGCCGTTTCCGCCAGGTCCCGTGCCACCTGGAGGCAGCAGGTTGTTAAGGGGGCCCTGGTCCGTTGGGGACGGGGATGTCCAGCGATACAGCAGGGACGTCAAAAAAAGAAGTCGGCTTGCCAGCAGGTGCGCCAAGAGAGCCCCAAGACGGCCCCAAGAGCGCCCAAGCGCGGTCCAAGAGCGCCCCAGGAGCGCTCTCAAGCAAGGGCGCCCTCGAGGGCGCGAAGTTATTCGCGCTTCGCGCTTCGCGGTTCGGCTCCGATTCGCGAAGAATGCCCACAAGGAGGCGGCCACCAAGCGGCGTCGTCGTGACGAGGACGGTTGTGCAGTCCGCGGTGAAGGTGACGGTGGAGGAGCCCCCTCCGCGGCCGCTGCAGGCCCAGGCGGCGCCTCTGCGGCCGCCAGCCAGGGCAGCAAGGCCTCGCCTGCCGTCTCCGAGGCGGTGCGCAAGGACATGCGCGCCAAGTTCCAGGACAATTCGGTGGTCCAGGCGAAGGCGGCCGCTCGTGCCAAGACTGCTGCCAAGCCTGGTGTCCAAGGCGCTGATGTCGGCCCTCCTGCTGCTGCAGCCACGGGTTCCTAGCGGGGCTGCTCCGTGCCCCTGGCAGCGGGGCGAAGCGCTGCTGGCTCATGAGGACGTACCTGATCCTGAGGATGACTCGCTGTCCATCCTCTTCGGCAACATCACGGAGTGGGGGCCGCAGGCTGCACGATTCTTGTCCCAGGAGTCGGCGCGCAGCGTGGTGGCCTTCTGCGAGACACACAAGGGACCTGATGATATGCATGACATCCGGTCGAGGTTGGACAAGGACGGCTGGAGGGTCACCCACACGGCTGCTCGGCCATCGGGCAGGTCGGACACGGGCCTCTCTGGCGGGGAGTGGATACTGACTAAGAAGCACATTGCGGCGACGAGCTTTGAGAGTGTTCGCCGCGCATCTTTGGAAGCGGGCAGGTTGGACCCCTGCCGCGGGTTCGTGCCGCTGGTGCTTCACACTCGTGCTGGCAATTTGGTGCTGATATCTGCCTACCTCCAGCCTGGCCTGGGGGTGAAGGGGTGGAACAACGAGGTGCTCGTGGCGCTGGGCTCGTTCGTCCGCTCATTGGCGGACCCCTTCTTGATCATGGCCGATTGGAATATTGAACCAGGGCCCTTTGTGCAGTCGGGCTGGCCTGAACGACTGGGTGCGCGGGTGGTCACACCGACGTGTATCACTACATGCGACAAGGGTCCTGGCAGAATGTACGACTATGGCCTGGTGGGCCGCGGCTTCCCTGACGTGACCTTGAGCCCTGACTTGTCGGTGCCGTGGAAGACGCACTGCGGGGTTCACATCTCGGTGATGGCAGCACGCACCCAGCGCTGGTACCGCCAGCTCGTGCTGCCGCAGCCGCTGCCGTCTCGAGAAAGGCCCTGCGCGGCCGCTGACCCAGACAGCAAGACGTCGAAGCGCAAGGCGGCCGCACGTGAGCGCAAGGTACAGCAACTTCCGTCTGACATGCAGGACTTGTTCGGTGATTTCTTTGGGCCCATGGAGGGGCCAGATGGCATGACGTCCTTTGGGGGCCCCCAGAGCACGCACTGCTCGCCTCCCAGGCCCGCTGGGCCATCGGGGGTTGAGGGTACCGACTCTGGGGGCAGTCGATCTGATGTCGGCAGCGAGGTGGCTTTTGCTATTGCGGCTGAGACTTGGGACGAGGCTATGACTCAGATCTACTGGGAAGGTGTCCCTGAACCGCATGGTCAGGCCCCGTCTGGTTTCCTGGGCCATCATGCTCCCTACGATCCTGCACGTCACTTCGCCTTCCGCTGGCAGGCTAGGGGCCGTGTGCGGGTCGATGCTTTGCACAACCATTGGGTCACGGTCATGGAGAGGGCCGTGCTCCTGCATGAGAAGGTTGACTCTGACAAGTGGAAGCAGTACTCAGGCCGTGCTCGTGGCCCTGCCTGTTGTTGGAAGCTGGTACGGTCGACTCCTGGACGTGCCCACATGCGCAACGAGCAGGCTGAGTGGTGGGGCCTTGTTAGCACGCTGGTCACGCGCTACGTGGCCCTGGTGAGGAATGCTTCTGACCCGCACCAGGCGGCCCAGTGCGTCGTGAAGGCGCGTCAGTTGATCGAGCAGCTGGACGGCAAGTCGGACGAGCTGTACTTTGGCAAGAAGCAGGACCCCCAGGAGGTCTTCGTCTGGAAGGGCATGGTGCTCAGCCTCGATCTGGTCGATGCTGCTGCCTTGCCTGAGCTTTTGGAGAGAACCCGCAGGTGGGCTGACCTGTCAAACGCTCGTGCCATGATGGCCTCCAGGTCCGCCTTCATGAACTGGGTCCAGGAGATTTGGTCCGCTAAACCTGGGGCCGTCCACAGGCATGTGAAACCAGCGGAGGCCCCAGTTTGGGAAAGTAAGGACTCCTGGGGCACCGTCACTTCGGACAACCAGGCTATGCTTCAAGGTCTGGCGAAGGAGTGGCAGGCGATGTGGACCGACCCAGTCGACTCGCCTGAGGACGTGCTGGCGATGATGCAGAAGTGTTTCGATGCGGCCAGGGAGGACCCCCTGCCCGCCATCACGCTGCTGGACCTGGATGCGGTGTTGCCGAGGATCCCTGCGAGGAAGGCCAAGGGCGTGGATTCGCTGAGCCCGTTGGATATCCAACGGCTACCTGATGCAGCTCGTCAGGCCTTCGTGGACAACTTGAACGCTATCGAGGCAGCAGGGGTTTGGCCTTCCTGTCTCAGCAGTGTTTTCGGAGCAGCCATCCCGAAGGAGGCGGGGGGCTGTCGTGTGCTGGGGCTGGTTCCCATGTTGCAGAAGGTGTGGTCCAAGATCCGCTCTCGAGCTTCGGGGGAGTGGTCGGCTTCGCTCTCTGCTTTCTGGGATACTGCTATTGCTGGATCGTCCGCCTTACGGGCGGCGCTGATTCGTGCAGTGATGGACGAGGGGGCCCACGAGCTGGCCTTTGAGCATGCGACGCTTTTCTTAGATTTGACAAAGTTCTACGACTCGGTGAGTTTTGTATTGCTCATGCAGGCTGGCCTGCAGATTGGTTTCCCGCCGATCATTTTGTTGCTGGAGGTTGGCCTCTACTCCTTCCCGCGCCTGTTGAAGAAGGGCCAGATGATAACGGAGGCGGTGGAGGTCACCAGGTCGATCGTCGCGGGGTCGGGGCTCGGAGTACCCTTGGCCAAAGTCATGTTGCATCGGCTGTTGGAGAAGGTACACCGCGAGGTCCCTCCTGCTGGTCTGTGGAGCTATATTGATGACATTGTCGGCCGCGCGGAGGGTACCAAGCAGAAGGTCATCCGCGACCTCGAGGCGACGGCCGATGTCATGTCAGGTGGCCTTCGCGAGCTTCGTCTCCAGATCTCCACCAAGACGAAGCTCGTGGCGAGCTCGGACGACCTGGGCGCGGAGCTGGAGAAGCGGCTGCGCCGCAAGGGCATCCCTGTGGAGTTTGTGCGCGCCACGGTGGACCTGGGCTCCGACGCTGCCGCTGCCAGGGTGAGAGCCTCTGCCAGGATGATGAAGCGCCGCGCCCAGGCGAGGCTCAGACAACGTAAGGTGATGAAGGTCAGGCGTCTGGCTAAGCTGCGCTTCGTGACGAAGAAGCTCTGGTCGTCAGGCGTGTACCCAGCGTCCGTCTTCGGTCATCAGTTGATGGGAACCCCTCCCACTACGCTGTTGGCCATGCGACGTGACGCAGCTGCTGCGGTGGCTGGAGCAAAGCGGGGACGGTGCCTGACTACCGTGCTGCAGGCGATCTACGGCACTGCTGAGCCTGGTGTGGATTTACGCCGTCAGTTACTGCGTGAATGGGTGGCCTTGTGGTTGACGCAGCCCGGCCTGCACCCACGTATCTGCAAGGTATGGCCCATGGTGCTGGCGAGGCTCAAGCGGGGCAAGGCCGTCTGCTGGAAGGATGTTCGCGGTCCGATTGCTGCACTGCAAGCGACCTTGTTGCAAGTGGGTTGGGATCCCCAGTCGCCGTTGGTGTGGTCTCGGCCCTTAGCAGACGGCACGATCGATGATTGGATCTTCCCCTCCTTCGGTGATGAGCAGTTCGGCACGGCGGTACTGGCCCATTTTGATGATATGCTGGGCGCTTTCATGGATGATTGTGTCGCGCAGCAGTGGCAGTCAGCGGCTCATCATGCGGCGGGCGACGACTTGGCGGGCGGCGCCGACTTGACGACTGTGTCCATTGAGCTGAACCGCTTCGCCAAGAGGTTGCAGTTTGACGAGTGGTCGGCGGATGTCGCCGTGGTGAGCGGCGGCCAGTGGTCTCGTGAGAGGCAGCTCGCTGCAGGCTATGCTTGTCCGTTGCTGTGCCCCCGCTGCAAAGAGATGCCTGAGACTTTAGCGCACCGTATTTGGACGTGCTCAGCTAATTGCGGGCACGAGGACTTTTCAAAGACTGATTTTCTGGTTCCCCAAGCCCTCGCCAGCCTGGACGCGCAGCCCGCGTTATGGCTTCGAGGAGTCCCCTCGAAGGACCTTGTGGTGCCCAAGTTTGTGGGAGCTCGGAGGCGGCCCAGAAGGTCCTTCTTGGGGAGGGGGCCTTGCTGGATCACTGTGTGGCCCCTGGAGCTCCCCCCTTGTTCATTTTTGGGGATGGTTCTGGAGGCGAGTACAGTTCGGATCCCCGTCGGAGGCGATGCGGCTCGGCTATCGTGGTGATGTGTCAGGATGCCTCGTCGCCCTTCTGGAGCCCAGTGTGTGGGGTGGCTCAGATTCTCGCGGGCAGGAAGCAAACTGTCCCGCGTGCGGAGCTGCAGGCTCTCTGTCTCGCCCTCGAGAACTCGAGGGGACCGATTTGCTATGTGACCGACTGTAAGAGTGTGACTGTTGACTGGCACAACGGACGTGCCAAGTTCCCTCGGGGCCTCAACGGGGACCTCTGGGTCCGTGTCGGTGCCGCTTTGAGGTCCCGCGGCCCTGGGGAGGTTTCTGTTTTGTGGACCCCCTCACACAGGGAGGACGAGCTACAGTCGGTCAAGACTGAATTCGAGTTGTTTTTGAGCCTGGGCAACGCCAGTGCCGACGCCTGGGCGGGTGCTGCGGCCCAGTGGGCCTGGGAGTGGTGTGTGCTGCCCCCCGTCCCTCGCACCGACCTGTGGGACACGACGGCGGCACTGGTGAGGCTCAGAGCTCGGAGAGCTTTGCTGATGGCGCTCGAGGTTGAACCCTGGGTTGGCGAGAGACCTGCCCGCGAGCGTCAGCAGCGTAGGCCAACCCGTTTGGAGACGGCCCTGGCCAGGAGCTCTCATGTCTTTGTCCCCTTTGCGGGACGCTGGAGGTGCAAGCTGTGCAAGAATATTATCCCGCGTAGTAGGCTCTTCCAGGTCGCCTCGACCCAGTGTCCTGGTCGGTCTCTCGCCCCGCTGTTGGACGCTGGCGGAAAAACTGGCCTTCCCGCGGAGTATGGAGAGGGTTTCGAGGCGGCCACTGGAGAAGTGCGAGTGGGTGGTGTTTTGCTGCACCCGAGCCACCAGCTCGCCAAGATGAATGCTTTTGGTCTGTTCTTTTGCATGACGTGTGGGCGCACGGCCACTGCGGACGCCAGGCACCTGTCTGTGGCGTGCTCCCCTCCCACCCGCAAAGGTGGGGAGAATCTGCGCAGAATTCGGAAAGGACTCTTTCCGAGCTATCGTGGCCCACCCGTGTCCGTGATGGCCGCTCAGTCTGAAGATGCTGTGCGTTGCTCCCTCCCCGCCTGCGGCCCTCTGCAGGACGCTTCACCTGCGGGTGCCCCGTCGGCCGAAGGGAGGGAGTCTGTTCCTTTGCTTGATGAATATTTGAGAGTGGCGTCGAGACGCCACCCGTGCGACACGGCGGCCGCCATGAGCTTCGACGAGGCGCCCCGTGCTGCCGCCGCTGGCCCGCCCGCTGCCGCCGCCGCCTTGAGGGAGGTGGTGGCGGGGCCTCTGGAGTGTGGCAGCGCTGTCCCTGGGCAGCAGCGGGGCGGTGCGTCTGTGTGGGAGGAAGGTTGGGAGTGATGGCCGCGTTGCGGCGCTCAGCAGAGTCCAGCAGAGTCCTCCGCCTCCTCCTCCTCCTCCTCCCTCTCCTCCTCCCTCTCCTCATCCTCCCTCCTCTCCTTCTCCCCCTCCTCCTCCTCCCTCTCCTCCTCCCTCTCCTCCTCCTCCTCCTCCTCCTCCTCCTCCTCCTCCTCCTCCTCCTCCTCCTCCGTCTCCTCCTCCTCCTCCTCCTCCGCCTCTTCCTCCTCTCGGTCAGGCCTGCTGCTGTCATCAGATGCTGATGTGTTCGACCTGCGCCTGGCCAGGCGCCCCGTTTCTCAGCCCTCCTCGGGGGGACTGCAGACTACCCATTGGGGGGATCACGCTCTGCGGCGTGACAGCGAGGCACGTGTGACTTGTCAGCTCTCGTATGTAGCATAAGTACTTATGACCCGCTGGTGGACATCTCACGAAGTGGCCCTCCATGCTGCCTAATAAGAAATACAACATGTCCACTATCGTGTGCGTCTGCCCGTGCTGCCCAGGGCGTTCCTCATGGGCCTGGACTCCATCAAGACCTTTGCGGCGGGCATCCGCGCTGCGATAGAGCACGGGGGCGAGGGGAGATGCCTGGCCGCGGGGGAGTTCGCGGGCTACGGTTGCGGGAGCGACAAGGACGCGAAGAGGCGCAAACCTCGGAGATCGAGGAGGATCCATATTTCAGAGGAGGAAGAGGTACCCATACTACCGCTACCCGTCCCCCGTTTTCTATGTTTGGAAGCCTTCTGGGAGGCCTTCGTCGCCACCGCTGAATCCGTCTCGAAATCCCAGGGAGAGGTCCGAGGAGTAGCGGTATTTGTACCTTTTGGGTTCCCCAGAGGAATCGCAAACCTCGGAGATCGAGGAGGATCGATATTCGGGGATCGAGGAGGATCGATCCTCGGTCCTTCCCGATCCTGCTGGACCTCGACTCCCCTCGATCCTCGACCCTCGATCCTCCCTCATTCCGTTTCCTCGCACCCCTGGGCCAGTCGAAAGGGCGGGCCGTGCGTTTCGCATGAGACTTCCTCGTAACTTACGAGCCTTAAGCTTTACAGCTGACAATAATCTTCACAGATGGAGGGCGGGTCGCGTCCAAAATGTGGCTCTCGCCTTAGCGCCGCGCACAAACGTTACATTGCAAAACTTTCACTGGTTGAGGGCGGGTTGTGTTCAGAATGTGGTTCTCGCCTCAGCGCCGCGCGCATTCTTTTTCAACATTTGCAAGATCTTCACGGATTGAGGGCGGTTCGTTTTCAAAATGTGGTTCTCACCTTAGCGCCGCGCGCATGCGCTTAAACATTTGCAGGAGCTTCGCGGATTGAGGGCGGGTTGTTTTTAACATGTGGTTCTTGCCTTAGCGACGCGCACGCTCGTTTGAAAACTTAGCAGGGGCTTCACGGATTGTGGGCGGGCCGTTTTCCAAATTTGGTTCTCGCCGCAGCGCCGTGCAACCATCTTGTTGTGTTGGGTCCTCGTTTTGAAGAGACAGCGCCTCGCGTCCCCGCTCTTCTCCTCTTTCTCCTCCTCCCTCCTCCCATCCTTGCTTCTGGAACCCGCATGGCAACCATTCCATTTCGGCACGCCGCTCACGAGGACCGTGGCCCCGTAGGGAGTTCCACCGAAGGGCCCAGCGGCAGGGTCTCTGCACACCCTTCACGAGGATCGCGGCCCATGGTCCTCCTCCTCCTCCTCCTCCTCCTCCTCCTCCTTCTCCTCCTCCTCCTCCTCCTCCTCCTCCTCCTCCTCCTCCTCCTACCGGAGGCCCCAGTGGCAGGGTTCACATGGCGGCCTCGGGCGAGTTCAGCACGCTTCTCGCGAGGAGCGTGGCCCCTATGGGGAGCTCCAGCCCTCACGAGCATCGTGGCCCTGCAGCTCCACCGAAGGCCCCAGCGGCAAGGTTCGCGTGGCGGCCTCGAGCCATCTCGGCGCACCCCTCACAAGGAACGTCCCATAGGCAGTTCCACCGAATGCCCCAGCGGCAAGGTTCACATGGCGGCCTCGGGCACTTTCAGCACACCCCTTGCGAGGATCGTGGCCCCACAGGGAGCTACACCGAAGGCCTCAGTGGCGGGGTTCGTATTGCGGCCTCGGGCGATCTCAGCACGCCCCCCACGAGGATCGCGGCCCCAAAGGGGGCTCCACCGAAGGCCCCAGTGGCAGGGTTCGCATGGCGGTCTCGGACGATATCAGCACATCCCTCACGAGGACCGTGGCCGCATAGGGAGTTCCACCGAAGGCCCCAGTGGCAGGGTTCGCATGGCGGCCTCGGGTGATTTTGGCACACCCTTTACGAGGATCGTGGCCCCATAGGGAGTTCCGCCGAAGGCCCCAGTGGCAGGGTTCGCATGGCGGCCTCGATTGCGGCCCCCCCCCGCACGCTTCGTGGCCCCAGAGGGAGCCTTGGACGAAATCCCCAGTGGCAGCGCCCGCGCGAATCCCTGCCCATTTCGGCACACCCCACGCACGCTTCGTGGCTCCCATCTGCGTTGCCCCGTGCTTTATCCTTCTCGCGGCGCGCTACTTATGATGAGAGGGGCATATCCTGCGATATTCGCAGCTGCAGATGATTGGGCCTTTCGCCGGGCTAAGAAATGCAAAGAGCTTTACAGTTTGTGGGCGGCTCCTTTTCAAAATGTGGCTCTCGCCTCAGCGCC